AATTGTTACATTATGGGTAAGTGGTTTGGTTGTGGCACAGGATCATTTTGACTTCAGAAAAACAGTAGACGGTATCTAGAAGAAGAACAAAAAGAAGTCTTTTTTGAGATGATCAAAAGGGACGTAAAGGCAGAAACTGACTTTCACTGAAACAGGACTGGGGACCAGGCCTCCAGTGTCCTTATTGTAATTCATTGCTTGTTTCTAGGCCTCATGATAGAATTCTTCCATAACAGACAGAGGACTTTGTGAAATTGTAAATGAGTGTGACTTCAGGCACTCTATGGAAATATATTCTCCCCCTATAGCCCATACATTATTTCTGCTTAGTTATGGTGGCTCACATTTCCCGTAACTATCAGAGAGAACTTAATTCAACTCGCACCACATCACTTTAAAATTGTGCAGCTCTCTTAATCAACCTTTGTATCAGCCACAAATGTGCAGTATGACCTAATTTGAAAATGTCTCAAAGTGCTGACTCAAACTGTTAGTGAATAAAGGCTAGTCATTACCATTATGACACTAATGTGATGCAAAATAAAATTGAGTTGCATCAGCTGAACATTAGTTTGTGAAAATATTAGTGATTGAAGCCATTTTCTGTTCATATTTTATTTATACGTATATATATATATATATATGTGTGTGTGTGTATAAATACATATGCATATATTTGTTTTTTTGAAACAGCCATGCAACAAAATTTTTAAGTGCAGAGGAAGTCACATTTTTAAAACTGACAAAGCCACCAGATTAAAAGTAGATCATATGTACATCATGATCTTCCCTCTAAGATGAAGATGTATTCTTGCTGAATTCTTATGAGCATATTTATACACATATAAGCAATAACATATGAAAATTATCATCTTCTCTGTACTTTGATGCCAGATTTTCAACAGCCCTGGTATTACTTACTACTTACTACTTTGTATCACTCGTAAATTATCTGACTTTGGCCCTTTGGAATAACAAGGGTTTGAAATGTATTTGTTTTATGGACCTCTTTCCAATCTTTTACTTGATCAAAAATTTTGTTTGAGATAGAAATACTCTTAATAAGCACTGGTCATTACTTTTGAACAAAAGAAAGTAGGATATGGGGCAAACAATTACTTAGTCTCATGCCAACTGTTAATACTTTATTGAAAGCAATGTAACTTATGTTTTTCTTTTGCAGTTTGGATGATTTGGAAGTAAAATACATGTGCTTATTTAATAGTTACACATCCTAGAGCTGGTGTTGGTTTCAGTCTATAAACTGATCAATAACATTTGAAAATAAATCAGTATGAATCTTTCCTAAATTAGAGAAATTGTTCCAGTGGTCAATCAGAAACTCTGCCCCATTTTGTGTCTCTTGAACTTTGAGAAGTCTGAACCTAAAAGTTGTACATTAGTGATCAAGTACTTCTGATGTGATTTATTTAACAGTGAGAACAAGTCAAGCACACAAAGAAGACATGTTGTTATTTAAATTTTTCAAGGATGAGAAATTTTGGCTATCAAGAAATTTATTTAATTGCTTCAGGTTTGAGAGAGCATATGTATATATATAAAATATATTATCATTACAAGCAATTGGTAGAAATTAGAGCTAAATTAAAATGCTGGTAAGCTTAATTCAAATGCTGGTAAGCTTAATTCATTCACTTTTTAGGAAGACAAGCAAAACCTTAAGGCTAGAAGTGTAAAAATTTGCTACTATGACTTTTGTATCTTAGTTGCTTCTACATTATGTATGTAATATGTGGCTCGCAGTGTTTTCATGACATATGTTTTAGTTCCCCATTAAGATGATACAGATTTTTAAAAAGTAAGTTTGAAAATTTTCAAAGTAGACTTACCAAAACCAGCATTCAGAAGCACTGTGCTTTCAGGTACATAGACACAGGCACACTTTCAATTTGCCTAAAAAAGAGGACTGCCTTTCTTAGCTAAAATACAATCGTTCTTATTTTTAAGTTAGGGAGAGGGGAAAGGTATGTGGGTGTGATTGCTGCAAATAGATTGCCGGTCTCTTAACAGTTCATCATTCTTAAATGATAGAAGCAGAGCAGCACCTTTCCGCGAAAAATCTTTCCTGTGGATTTTACTTTGTCCATGCCAGAACGAATTGCATGCTAACTTGGAATAATTCTGAGATGTAAGACACCTCCATGACTGTCTTTGGAATACTGAGAAGCTGACACTCCTCTTTGGAAGATGAGGGGAGACTGCCCCCTGCTCTCTTATTGATGATTTACTGTGCTCTCCCCTGGGGCCACAACCAATGATCTGGAAGCTTGTTGAATTTTGAAGCAAATACTAGATATAATCAATATATAAAAATAAAGAGAGAGAGAGAGAGAGAGAGAGAGAGAGAGAGAGAGAGAGAGAAATGCAATGAAAATTTATGACCTTAACATTCCTTCAGGGTCAAGCAATTTATCAAATTCTCTCACTTTCTGGTTTCAATTACACAGCCCTTGTGGAAGGAACTTATTTTAGCAGGTTCATTTGCCTCAGTGGGGAATACAGGACTTTGGCCTAATGCTTCACCTTTAGTGCAGGCCATTTGAGCCTTAGAACAAATACCGATCATCACTCTTTGGGAAAGAAGAACCTGCGTCGGCGTGGCCTGGTGGAACGGGGTTTCTGTCAAGGTAAACGGTTGTCGGCAATGACTGTGGTAGAGTGGCGATAAATCCCATTTTATTGCTGAAAAATTCCAGCTTCTCTCCATGCCTGACAGCTCCCCACATTCTCATACCCATTTGGGCAATTTCTGCGCTATGTCCATCTGGTTCTCATTACCTCTCAACCTGCCTGCGTCTGATCCAGAAAAAGTGCAGGTCACAAACAGGGGAAAAGAACCGAGGTGATGGACAAAACAGAAAGCAGGGGGGTGGCCCCTGGGGGTCAGGGTAGAGGTGAGGGAGCAACAGGGAAGTGGGGATCCCAGCTTAGGCTTGGACTGGTTGCTGGAAGGGGCTATTTAGATATACTACAGAATGATAATGACAGAGCCAGAGCCAGGAAGACAGAGGAATCTGTGTCTCTAGACTCAGGCCTTTAACAGGCACCTGCTTTAAGGTGGAGAAGAGAGAGAATGTGGTAGGTATGAGTGAATGGTAAAATTAAGAGAGGCAGAGAGGGGACACAGCCCAGCCCAGGCTGTATATTAAGGGTGCTGTGTCACAGAGCAGAGGCTTGCTCTAGAAGTACATAAAAGTTAAACATCAAGCATCATCAAGCTTGGAGCCCCATGTACATAGTTACCATGGTTCTAAATATGGGGATGAAACTCCGCTGGAGATTCCATTTGGGTTCACAAATTTAATTTTTTTGAAGAAAACTCTAGGCATCCAACAGCAGTCTCATTCATTTTTCTGATTCATTATTAAATTAATAATAAAGAAAATTCTTATTTAAAAAGTACTTGTCCCAATCAGTGCATTTAAGATGGGTTTATTTATGGAATGACAGGACTAACACTGAGTCCCCTGGGTTTTCGTAACCCTACAGACGGTCACTTTAGGAATTGCTGGGCATTCTTGCTTTCAGAAAGTTGGCCTCTTTTTCTGAAGCTGAAATCTTTTTGATCATTTGATTGCTTCTGACCTAAAGTTATCCATAGTCACTATAAGATTCCTCTCGGGGACAAAAAAAGAAATAAATACAGGAAACATTTGATAACAAATATTAACAATAAGCGCACTTAAATAGTAACCTAAACTAGACTAGGATGAAACTGTATAACTCTACATGTGTGAATATAAAAAATATTTATTATTGTTGTGATGGGGGTTTTATAGTTAATATTAAAATAAAATTATGGAAAATATATAAAAGCATAAATGATGAAGATCTAAGAACTTTTAATAAAAAAAATCAGGATCAGATGCATGAGTAGATGGATAGTAGTTATTTCATTCTTCTGAGGCAAATTTTGCATGCAAATGTCTTAAAACCAGATAGACTGTGTACTCTTAAACATATTGAAAAGCCGTGGTATTGCTATGCTTTGCAGACAGAATCGCATATCCTAGATATGTTTGACAACATGTCTTAGCACCTTCTGGATCCCACGGGGGCAGAGTGTATTCCAGGTACTCAGAATCCACTTTTTTGACAGTCAGATCCCTAAGTGCTACCACAAATATCTGTTTTATTTGTTGAATTTTAATATCAAAATTACATTAAATTTTAGTTGCTGAGCTAGATGTCACCGACAAGAAATACTGGCTTCCAAAATTGAGATTTAGTTTCTAAATTTTCAAGGTATATTCACTCAGAAGAAATTCTGTACCTAAAGTTGTAAGTGAACTCCACACAGGGACATTTAAATGGAGAGAGATTGTTTAGAAAATTTTAAAATTAAAATAGGCAATTTGGACTGAAGTGCATTATAGATGACCCAATTGTTATTGGCCACTTTAAAATGAATACTTTCGGTCAACAAGTACAACTATAAAACTTTCACATGTATATGGTAAAGGCATAAACCTTTCGATAATATTACATATCCCTTAAAGTGGCCATAATATATGGCATCTCTAATTCAGAAAGTAATTTCAGATTCTTAGCCAAAAAAGAATCTTGCATGAATTTTACTTTTCTGGGCTGTGCATATATCAGACAGAGTGATCATTGAAACTCTGAAGGATATTCATTTCTTTAGTAGGACAGCAGAAAATTAATAGCATAAGGGAGGGTGAAGTGACAAGTGAACTTGATGCTTGATAGCTGTTTACATATGAATGTGTGCCCAGATTCCAGTGTTCTGTAAAAGAAAGAGGAAATAGAGAAAAACCAAAGCAAAGCATTCCTATGGCTTTTAGGGAACTTCAGACACATGGAAGAGCATACTTAGACCAATGAAATATTTACTAAAGAAATCATTTACGTTTAACTTTTGTGTATGCAAAACTTGGAGAGTCTACAAAAAGACAGAACCAACATTAGCTGTTAAGAAATATTTCGGCATCAAAATGGTTAATAGTATTAAAGCTTCAAAAGAGCCTATTGGCTCACCCTCAAGGATGCCCTGCAGTTGTTGTTAAAGTCATCAGATGAAGCTAGCCTTCTCAGCTAGCCTTTAGATTTGTCTGCTAACAGTAAAAATCCTATAATAAATCGGTAACATATGTTGCCAGGGAAGGAAAAGTGATATAAATAAAGAGACTAGGAGACCCAAACCAAATACAATGTGAAAAGAATTTAACTTTCAATCTATTCGTTGGTTAATTATCATTTGAAAAGTAATTTGAAATGTGTTACTATTATTTGCTTATATTCTTCCTCATTTTTCTTTTTTTCTCTTCAGATTGCATTTGTACCCAAATATTCTTCGTGATTGCCTGCTTTGCGGCTTTGGGGTAAGTCCCAGTTTTCCACAACCTTAAGAAAAAAAAATGCATAACATAAAAGATGCCAAAAAGACTTATGGGTCCTGATGTGCGGGGGTTTGTGAAATATACATGGGTTTGCTGGTGGGAGTGGTGGGGGTGGTAATGAAATAAAGAGAAGGGGTTTGTTTCTGCAAGGATCAAGAGTGTGCGAAAGTGTGCATTGCAAATGAGGCTCCCATCAGGAAAGCCACCTCTGGAATGGAAATGACAAAGCTTGGAACACACACAATCAATTATTTTCACTAGCATTTAAAATATAGAAAACAAAATCTGCTTTGGGAATTGACTGAATATTTTATTTAGCTTTTTTATTGAGACATCCTTTGAAAAATGGCATAATATAAATAGTTTTACAAAGCAACAATATAATCAATCTCTAAACTAGAGTATAAATCAAGGATTTCATTAACTGCTGGTAGCCAGTTTAAATTGTAGTCTTGTCCATAATGTCTATCTATCTATGTATGTCCAAGTTATATTAAAAACCTTTAAATGGCTTTGTAATATCAGCTACATCTAGCTATTATAATAATTAATGGTACTGTTTTATAAATCAATACATGTATTCTTGATAAATTCATATCCAGTTAATGGTGTAATTTAAATAAAAAATTAATGTAATAAAGGACATACAGAAACGGGCAGGAAATCTTTAAAGGTTAAGAGACAAATTTGTCTAAATTCATTTTTAAGCTGTTTTGAAAAAGTTTATATTTAAAATCAGCTGAGATTTACCTTGTTTCTGTAGAACTAATCTTGCTGTGCCTATTGGTGTCTAGTATTAAATGTGTGAACTATTTTCTTTTTTAACTGTTAAGTTTTAATTACATACTTAAGATACTATGGGATATTTTACTACCATTATACTCTTTTGCAATTACTGAATATGCTTTAGAAAAATGGAACAAAACAACCTAAAAATCTCAAATCAGTAATTTATTTTTAATTCATGAATGGAAGGTAAATGCTTTATGTTTTAAAATAATATCTATAAATGAAAATCTCCAAAGCTTTATACAGATTTTATTTAAGGGGAAAAGGACTGATTAGTAGAATGAATTTGCATGTGTAAGAGCCCAGTGTTTTTACTGCTGTCACTGAATGAACATCCTAGGAATTTTCAGAAAGAAAAGAAAAATGCATTGAACAGTCTGAAACGTATGTTAACGCTGCACACGGGTGGAGAAACAGTCTATCAGGACAAGAGTCTATTATTGTTCTAATTAAAAAAATGCATACCAAGGCATATTAAGGAATAACAAGATTTAAAAAAACAACTGCATGTTGTATGTTATCAAATACAGTCTTAAATCTTTCCAAATAAAATTTCATTTGGTTTATAAAATGAGCATCTTACACACAGTATCTTTCAAAATTATGCAGACCAGTCTGCCCTGCCATTCTCTGTGACATGGTGCAGAAATGTTACTTTAATCCACTGAGCTTTTTCTGACATTTTTCTTAACATTGCTATGCCTTATTTAGAGCAGCAAGGGAGACGTGTGCAGTTTCCTTTGACACTGATGGGTGTTTCAAAATGTTACATGAGAGGAGCAGGAGAGAGAGAGAGTAAAAAAGGAAAAGGTTTGCTGCCAGTCACTTCATTAATAGAGCTACAGGAGCAATTACTATTTGTTAAAAGTTTACCTTTCAAGTGAAGCTAAATTTTAAAGAAGGCTCATCCTTTCAGAAGAGCTGCTGCTCGGAAGAGGAGGGAAGAGGACGCACATAGGAGGTTACACGTTAAAATGCACTCAAGTAGTGGAACCATTTAAAATGTATTGTGTTTTTAGACGAAGCCTGCAGCAAAACCACTCCTAAGAGGCTTAATTTAGGTTTTATAGGAGGAACATAAAAAAGACCAGGTTACAGCAACACGCTGAAATACGGGGTTTATTTTAAATATATTCATTTAAAAACGTATGTTTATTTTCCCTCCTGGGATCACTAACGTGTGTCTCGACAGAGAAAGCAAGGATATGCTACATTCTTAAAAATTATCTGTTAAAGGGATCACATTCCAAGACAGGTTGGAGCATTTTTATTACTACAGATAACCTCTTAATTATGTCACTGCCTTCCACTTGTTAATCAGGGACGTTCAACATGGTTAACCAGCAAGCAGTTGCCTTTAGAAGACTACATTATTATTAAGAATTAGGAACTCATTTTATTCTCATCATCCCAATATTGCATATATGCTTTTAGCGCCGCTGAAAACTTATTTACCTGTTTTAAATACGAAACTCCTCAGAAAGGTCTAGAAACCCATAACAATGTTGTTAATTACTTCAAACTGTGCGGCTCCTGAAGAGTTTTAAGGGATAGATAATTGTGCTTTTCCTGTCCCTCCCCTCCCGCCTCTGCCTCCCCCATCTCTCACACAATTCCTACTTGCACCAGTTTTAGGTTTCTTCTGCAGCCACCAGTGTCTGAGCTACTCAGAGACTCTTTCAGAGAGCAAGGTGTAAATGGAGTAAATAAAAGCGTGCTTCGCTGTTGCTTTATCAACCCTCCTAGGTAGTTTCCCTGCCAGCCAACCTGCACTGTTAAGACCCATAAAATTATGCAATAGTGACTTCTTTGGAGGTTCTCTAATCAGATAATGGCCGGTGTTAGGAGGGAAGGGCCCAGGGCAATGTTGCTGGCACTTAACGCTGGGGTTGGTCATTACTTGCCTGGTAGAGACCAATAAACAGATGATTACTATCCTATAAGGAGCCAATATTTTACATTTATCCAAGTTATTTTTTTTCCTTTTCTTTTCAACTTCTTGTAACACCAAATATTTGTCAAGAAGATCTATGAGGAATAGACCTCACAGGCCTCTTAAAAACGAGAATTTTCCTAGCACAAAATGATGCCTTTTGTGGAATAGTGAGAATGATTTTGGTTTTTTACAAGAGCAAAGGTTTGATTACTTTAGAGTCCATTTCTTTCAGATGTGGACACCCCCAGCATCATGCCCCACTCTCCTGTCCCCTTCTCTCCTCTCTGACAGTTTCACAGGCTGCAACCAAGGGGTTTTAAAATGCAAATATTTATATTTGAGCTCTGGCAATAACAGAGTCATTTTGCTTCCTCTGTTAGCCTGTAATAATTGATGCTTCATACCTGGAACTGTTTCATTTATCTCTTTACACATGAAGATATTGTATAAATAAAAGATAATTTATGGAAAAGAAACAGCCGTTTGAAACAATAATCCTAAATTCGACTGTATAATCTTTTAAGGCTTGAAGAGTCAGAGACGCAGGTTTCTACACCGTGAAAGGAAACGTGATTGCAACTGGTGAATTTGTGCATTTTTGGACACTTACTGAGTCTGAATGCCTGCCTGCTTGGGTCAAAAAAACAAAAAGGGGAGATTAAAGGAAGGCAGGAGAGAAAAGGTGTGAAGCTTTCATGTGCTTTAAACTAAGGTATTTAACTACATGTTCAGGTTTCTTGTTACAATTTTATCGGCTTTCTCTTTGTATCTGAGTCTAATTTTTTAATAGCTAATGCAAATTGCAAAACAAGGAGCCTTCTAAAGTGCCTTTTCTTCCCTGGGATCCTCATCTTAGAATGAACAGACATATACCAGAAGAGCTGGACCCTAATTTCATGACTTCACACAAAGCCAGGCAATTCTTGAGCCAAACAAACAAAGGGGGTGTAAGTGGTTTCATTTATTTTGATAATCCTCCTCCTGCACTGGAGCATTTTGCTGTCTTTGTCAAAGTGAATGACAACAATTTGGCCAACTCTCTCTGAGCTGCACTCAACAGTGACAGGCAAATTATCAGAGGCCCTGCACTTCTTATTATCAGAGGAGAAGCCATCAGTGGGACGCATGGAGGATACCTCTCCCTTGTCACTATTTGTCAGTGGGACAAGGGCCACTGCTATGGGTAGCTGACAGGTAATTTCAACAATAACAATTACTCCTATTACTGGTGTCATAAACAATTCGCCCAAGGCATGACAATAGCAAAGCTTTATAATTCAATGCCATATAAATAAATGCCAGCAGGTAACAAGTAATTTAGCTCCAATCAAGCTTTCACCCTGGCATTAATATTGTTATTGCAAGAAAATAGAAAATTGAAAAAATTCAATATGTTAATGAATTAAGAGAGGTTCAAGGTCTAGACAAGAGGGGTTGAAAAAGGGAAACCAAAATTATTATGGTATCATATTTGGTGCCGTCCTGGCGGGGGGTTGGGGGGCGTCAGCAAACAGCAGTGTAATTACTTTAAGATAAGAAAGGAACCGATCGCTGTTGCCTTTGACTTCAGACCTGAGAGGAAGGTGACATGGCCTTCCCAAATCCACCTCTTCCGATTTCTGGAGAATATAAGTAGAAATATGAGAATGTGTATATAATGTGGCGTTTCATTGGCTTTTTTCTACCTGAAATACTTCATATGAAACAGAGGTGTGAGTTTCAAAGGAACATTTCTGTTTGTTTAAGAAAATCGCATCAGCACCTGCTTCCTTGACATCAAGCCTCATAAGGAAACTATTTTAATAAGCCTGTTTTTATCTGTGGTGAAGGTAAAGCTGAAAATCCCTCTGTGCTCTCCAGCTGTCCACCTTTTGGAAATGGACTTGAGGATACAGTCCCATCGTCCTCTGTACAACTTTCCCATCAGATGAATTTGCAATTTCAGTATTGGTCCAGCCAGACAATGTGCCATCATGGTGACAGCAGTAAAAGAATTTGAAAATCCCTAATTAGGAGAGCTGCGGAGCAATTAACGCATGTCAAATTTCACTTCATCAAGTGCCACTCTAATTTTCCCTCTAAAAATTAATGGATTTTTTTCCCCTCTTTTTGGTATGTGTGTGTGTCCCCTTAAGGCAATGTTGATTCAAATCTGCTCAAGATGCAGTGTTGCACAGCTAAGCATCTTCTTGATTACAACCCGCCACACTTCTAACTGTGCTCATTCTCACTGCCACGGATACTTTGTCAACAGTCAAATTACACCGCGCTGATAACAATGCATAATGGTGCTCCTCCTCCGAGGCCCCTGACAGGAGATGGGGTTCATAAAAATGTGATGTTTTCTGCTCAACTGTTCCTAAAGGAACTTTGTGGGACCGGGTCACTAGACCGGGTCACTAGACAGGCGTCAATTTTTTTTGAAATTGATTTGTTAAATTCAAGAAAAGGAAAGAAGTGATAGAATATGAAAATGCCTCACTGACCAATAAAAAAAAAAAAATCAGAGGAAGAAAAGGGAATTGAGAATACCTGGGGCCACAGTTTTGCTTAAACACTTTGTTCAGAGACATTTTCAAGAGCAGTGTTCTCAGTTTTGTTTTTTTTCCTTCCCTTTACTTATGGGTTATAAACATTGGAAGCCTCTCTTGAACAGACACTATTTAGATTGTGAGAGAAGTTTGTTTAACTGCCATATTTGCCAGAATCTTCAAAACATCACAGGACACAGAAGATAAATGACTTTTTTTTTCTTCAGGTCAGGACTGTATCTTCCAGATAAATGTGGATTCATTTGAACTATTTTTTTATCTTACTTGCTTGTTGCAGATCTGTGTGCCTGAGTCGTCAGCCCACGTGAGGAATATTTCTCACCAAAAAATGAAACAGTTTAGATTCAATGATTTTTACATTTAGTCTTTTTAGAGATTATTCAGATTTTAGTTTTCTAAAACATGATGAGATTGGGAACCAAAACGGGGAAAACTAAAGAAAATGCTAAATATATTTCTTTTCAGATTCTTCAGGGAGTGGAGAACATTCACATGGATTGACATCCTACTTTTCCATCATGTAAGTATATTTTTTGGCTGTATGTTTTCTTTCATCATATTTATTTAGTAAAAAAAATTCTAAGTTCATGGAACATACACTTAATTTTTTTAAATTAACAGGTTGGGTTCAGCTTTTCATTCAACGATAACTAACTCAAAAATCGAAAACTTCACATTTTGAGGTTTGTATTTCCAAATATTAAAAATCTCTTCCTTCTCTTTTGGCCCCACCCTAGCATGTTCTGAAGTGGTCTACATCGAACAAAAGAAAATGACATCCCCTTTCAACCATCGAATGTTAAGATTCTCTAGTAACCGATTGGGGGCTTGCTGGAAGTTTTACAATTAGAGTCACACATATTGAATTATTTTCATTCTTCCCAAACATCATTCTTTGAACTTTATAAATATAACAATACTGGGTTTAAAGTTTCATGTGGCTTATTTACAAATAAAGGTATCTTGATAAAAACCAAACTCTGTGTACTTTTGAAAAACAAAAACCTGGAACAGTGTCATACGAAAACATTACAAAATGATTGTAAAGGGAAATTTAAAGGGGGAAAACTTGATTATAGAATGCAATCCAGCAGTAATCAATTTTACCTTCAATATCTTGCTTTTGTTTTCGAAATGCTAAATAAACAATACATAATGCATCCCTCATCAGCCAAACCATGGAGGCTCTGTGCTCAAATAACAGGAAACATATTCAATTTTCCTAACAGAAGACAGTTCATTAAGCTGTGCCACATCAAATAAAACTTTAATTTCTCCAGCATCAGAGTCGCAATGAAAGCAATTGAAGAAGATGAGCCATATGGTACTTCTATCAGCAAACACATATTGCTCATTCCCCCAAAGTTTTCTAATTCTGCTCCCCAGACCTGTGTAATATAGATAATGTGCTCCGAGAGCAGCAACCATGAGCTATCTAGTGTACACTTCTAATACTGTATTTAATGGGAAATAATGAATCATAAAAGCCTAGAGAAGACGGCTTTTGCTAACCTAAATCTCAGCTGTAATTTCATTGTTCTGTGCCTAAGATGCTGCTTGCCCTTTCCAGACAACAGCAGTTGAACATAATTATACAGCTTCAAACCTGGGCTTGAAAAAGCATCCCTAATATAACCAAGCTTCTATTAACTCCTGAAATTCTGAATTTTTTTGATGCACTGATGCAGACATTGAGATCATCGAGCGTGTGTCATTTTAGAACCCAAACCATCAGTTTCTCCTCCTTGGTCAGACTGTTCAACACATTTACGTTCCCTCCTCTACCCACCGCCCCATGCAACAGGAGTGGCATGATTAAAAATGAGGAAATTTTCTTGTTATTAGCAAATTTCACATTTGCCTGATGAAATGCACATAAAATGTGAAAGCTACACAGTGCTCAGAAGAAACGTCTGCACTCCGATGTAAGCCACCAAGATGAAACAGTTTAGGTAAAGGAAATGTAAAGATCCTTGTGTATCTGTACTGCAGAATGCTAGGATCCTATTATAAATGAAAGAACCAAATATTGCTGAGCTTTTAGAACAATAGTATTTTGACACGTGAAGTGTAGAGTGTTTCTTCTCTCACCTTAACGGCTTCGATTATCAACCTAAACATACGACATAAGCTCAAATGCAGCAGTTTCCATGTCAGGGGTCCAGCCTCTCTCAGGCAAGATCTGGGAACTAGGACTAAATTCCTTTTCAGAGAAAAATGTTTTGTTTTGTTTTTTTCTCCCCAAATAGGTTGATGATTTTAGCTTTCCCATTTGGAAAGCTCATAAAAATCAATATTTTACCAACACAATGCTAATTTAGAACACCATCAAATAACGCTGCAGATACATATTGGAAACATATTTTAATGGTTTTGTTTGTTTTGGCATCATATGAACCAAGGACGATTAAATTAAAAAGAGACTTTTAAAAGTTAGAGATTGCCTTTTTAAAGCGTATTAAAATCAGCATGTTCCATGCCCGTCTCTGAATGAGTTCTACACCCTTGATTGCCATCATTAAAACGAGTAGTTCGGGCGCTGCTCTCGGATGGTTCAAGCCCTTCCTCAGAGCTGATTCTTACTAGTTATTACCTTGAAATCTCTTTCCATTGAAATGAGAAAAAAAAAATCATTCTAGCCTGTGCAAGAAACTGCCACCAAAATGTGAAATAGCACAGCCAGACAGCAACGTGAGACCATGAAAAGACCAACAGGTAAAAAAAAAAAAACTTACAGTAACATCTGAAACACACTCAGGAAAAAAAAAAAAAAATCACAACAACAGCACAGAAGCAGTCCATTGATTATATTTCATGAATGCCTTAAAACAAATGTTTAAACAGTTTTCTGAACCAGTGCAGAAAGCCTCTGCATGCTCCACTGGGTTGCAATGACAATGGTCTATTGCAATGTAAAACACGCTGGAGGATAAAAAGGTGCTTTTTGTTACCATTTTATCAAAGCTGTTCATCTTCGAGCTGCAGGCAGCATTTTGCTGGAATTGCAGATATTTCTCTGTCCAGGCTCCTTTGTTTGTGCATCTCATTTGCATATATTTATCTCCAGCTGAGGGTGCTTTCTGTTCATTAAGGCCTCCCTTCACATTATTTCATAAGCCAGCTGCTAAGAGGGATTTCACCTGTGGTGACTGAGAAAAGAGGGGTGAAAACCTAAATTCTTCATAAAAAGGAAATCTTCGGAGTCTCTTCCCCTATAAATGGGCACCATTTGTGTTAAACAGCCTCTTGTCATGATAGATGCCTCCAGAGGTCAGGGGTTAAAGTTGATTTGAAGGTCAGCAGTAAAACAACAGACAAACCAGACGCCAAACTGGTTCCTTAGCTGTCGGTGGGAGCTGTGGTACAAACAGGTCTTGAACCTTTTTCAACCTCTAATAAAACAGGGGATGAATCTGAAGTGGATCAACCAGGCCCCTGAGGCAGCGGCACAGAAAAACACAAATAATATCAATATCAGGCAGCCACGGGAAACAATGGGGCATTTCTCCGTGCTACATGCATGCTGCTATTGTTTCAAGGGCTGGGGAATTAATTCCACTTATTTATTTAAGGCGTGTCAACTCACTGCCTAAACCTGTTTCAGTGTCAAGATGAATAAAACTTTTATGGCTCATAAAATAGAGCCATTCATCTCAATGTTCTTTGTGGTGCGTGTTTTTTTATTTTTTTTTTCTGGCATACTGAGCTAGGCCTCTGCTCCTAAATAGTTACATCTGAACCCACTGTTGCTACGATCCACACCATATTAGAGAAAAAAAATGATCTCACCGGCAAATGGATCTCAACAGAAATGACAAGGAAAGCATTCTAGCTCCAATGTAATAGCCTCCAAATTCCTCCCACAAACTTCTCACACAGTTGCATCTGTTTTGTGCATCCATTATATACAAAGGAGAAGTTTTGTTCTTGAGTAAAGTTAAAAAATAATAGCGACAAAAAATTAGTTTCTTAGGATGTCGTATATTTCATTTTATTCTAGAAATACAACCTTATTAGGGTGACCCTCTCCCACTCATCATTTTTTGCCCAAGTTTTCACTGTTAGTCAGCTTGCACCCATGTAATGATTAAATAGCTTCTTTAGCTCTACTGCTTTGAATTTTATGTTTAATTTGAAACATAAAATGCAGAAGAAAATACCTTTAAGTGCATTTTGTATTATAGTTTTTTTCAAAGTTCAGGTATAGAATTAATTTCACTTTTCATTTCTGACTAATGGCTTTAATAACAATATAATACCAATAAACAAGTTAACATTTATGAAGTGCCACACACAGTGCTAAAGCCATGCATTTTCTCATGTAGTTATTAGTGATAATTCAATCCAAGTCACATAAACCCATGTAAAATGGGCTGTAATAATAACACTCTTCATTACCCAGAACACATCTTAGTTAAAACAAAAAATTCCAATCAAACAATATTATTATTCCAGCAGATGCTTTAGCAGGTAACATCATGGGAATATGATTGCTTTGTACTAAAAGGAGCAAAAAGGAACAATTCGATGCTATTGCACAAGTTCTCCAGTCTCAGCTTAAATCATCTCTATCACAGTCCTTTGCGCTATTACAATGCAAATTGACTTGTGTGCGAGTCACTTACTATGTTGTCCCAGTTGCTTGGCTTTTGAGGTCTCCAGTGAATATTGTAGCCTTTACTTATTTTTAACTTAGTCAATTGGCAGGTTAGTTTTCCACATGAACTCAAGTCTTCCCAGTTGAGTAGATCATTTGAGAACAGGCCAAACAGAATGGTGTTTCTTCACATTTTGCCCATGCACAAAGCTGTGGTTCTGGGGAAGGAGGAGTCTCACTCCTGCCAGGGTGCCAAGCACTGCTCAAGATTCAACTGTTCTTTACTTCCCATTTGAACTGGTGCACCCACCACTTGCTTTGCTTAGGGGTGACCCATTTACCAAGCAACTCTATTTGAAAATGGAATTGCTTTCAAGGGGCCACCAGGCCCTGAAAAAAAAAATTGATTGGATTTTGGTCATCTTGGTGATGTGTTCTCATTTAAGTATGGAGCAGAAGGTTTTTCTTCTATAACTTGTTTTCCAATGTTTTTTGCTCCTCTTGAGTGTATTTGTTTGTGACATGAACTTTGTGTATATGGTGTGTGTGTGTGTGTGTGTGTGTGTGTGTGTGGTGTGAATTGGAGTCATTTTATCAGAAATTTTTCTCAGTAGAATTTTTCAAACCCAAGGTCTTCTACTAAGTTCTTTAGTTTTTTTAAAAAGCAAGTAGTCTTGCTTCACACAAGGAGCACAACTTGTGGTTGGAAAAAATTTCCAACTTATTAAATGTTGTTTATATCCTCATCTTTGTAGACCCTCAGCCTTCCCAATGCATTTTATGGCTCCCTCTGTATTTGACATCAATTTTCCTCTGGACCTTCCACATTACATTTAACCTCACTCCCACCCCCCAACCTAGAACCTCCGAGTGACTAGACTAAAGCAGAAATACATAGTTTACTCCCCTCCAAGTCTGCACCCCTGACTCTCGTTTTTCTTTTACTCTAATCTAATCGCTGATTCTTAAGCTTGGCCAAATAGTTAAAAATGTTAAGTGCTAGCAAAGCCTTTTACCTCCCCCTCATATCTGTCTCTGTTTATGGAATGGGCCCGGTTTCCTCCTTTTCTCCTTCAGCCTGGGGTCTTCAGGTCAGAACACTGTAAATACACGCAACCCTGGCCCAACCCATAAATCTGAGCAAAGGGCAGGCTTATATATTCAGATAAGCTCGATAGGGGTGGGGTATGGAAGGAGCGAGAACTGGCAGAAACTGACTCCACAGCCATGTTCAGAGGAGAACTGCAAAGGCCAGGACTCCTTAATGGGGAAGGAAAAAAGATTTTTGTCTCAAAACATCTCTCCTTATTTCTAATGGATGAGGTTGGCACGGCATCCTCTGTTTTTTTTAAAGAACATTTTCCATGTTGCTTA